GGCCGGGAAGAGCAAACATTCAATGTCATCTCTGATTGGCCAAGGTTGAGCAGCGCCTCACCTTCCCATGAACCCCTCCGCTGTCACTGATTGGACGAGGTGAGCCGAGCCTCACTTGTGTCTGAACCCTGCCTTGTGCGAGACGCCGGTTGTGTGATGTGAGAGCTGCTCTGCGGGCCTCGTAGACGCTGTTGGGAGACGGACTCAGGGTGGGTGGTCTCGGTCATGAGGGCTCTCCAACCATCGCTTGCAGTGGAGAGCTCCTTCATCACCACGCCGTCATGATAGCACTACTCATAAGAGCACCACAACCACCACTCCTCAACATGGCAATTCAGACTTCCTCCCTGTCATTAAGCAATATGAAGTCTGGAATGTGAATTCCAAGATATTCGATTCCTGCCCTTTATGAACTTATCTGGGTTGGGGGAAGTTATTAGACTTGAATGTTGTAGTAGAGGAACTACACAGCTTTAACTGCAGTTCCTTGGATGCTCACAAGAGGTCACTGTGTAGACGGCACAGAACTCTGCCTTGACGACTTGAGTTTGCATAACTTGAAGTTTTTCTTTTGCTTATACAGTAAAACTCAATCTATTGGGCAGACATCTTCAACATTATGCAATTTTCTAAAAGGACTAAATTTCTTTAACAGTTTTTTTTCATAATTTATTTAACAATATCACAGTAGGATGTCAAGATCATATTATTTTAAATAATAAATCAATAAAATGTGAAGATGATGATGATAGTGTGTGTGAGAGAGTGTGTATATATATATAGTGTATTATAATTAGTTTATTTATTTCATATAATCTAAAAGAAATTTATCGGTTAAACATTTCAATTCATTGCAGAGGGATGTTATGATCATGTATATTGAATAAATCATTAATTTATAATATAGCCTACTATACAAGATATGTAATAAAATGATACATAAATATATAGACAGATATATATATACACACACAATTTGACGTTTATATCTATCTATATATATTGTATGTTTTGTATATTTGACCGCTTTGTAGGCCTACGTCATTTGAAGTAAAAGTTTAAATTAAATCTAAAAGTCTGATTTTGTTTATATAATTTGAGGTTTGTAGAAAAAAATTGTTTTAGTTTTAATAATGTAAATAATAAGGAAATTTAATAAATGTAAAAATGTTTTTTAAAAAATTGGAAAAAAGTGTCAACATGCAGAAACTATCACTGTTATAACTTGCACTGCTGTTAACATTGATGTCATGAGAGCTTGGTTTTCATTTGCATACTTCAGATGCATGTCATCCTGCATCCGTCCACACCTCTCTTCTAATGTCTCAATAGGACCATGATCTTGTGACCTTTCAGAGGCGAGTGGGCGATCGTCAGATATTGAGCATTGCCGCCGTGTGAATCAGAGGTGAACACGACACGCTGGTCTTCAGCACACTGCCCTACTTCCTCTGACACCAAACACACACGACACTGTCTCTCTCTTGCACACATCCCGCTGTAAAATGCACACATCCCTCATCAGCTCTGTGACATTTTTTGAAGTTGTTTTGAAAGCGGTCATATCATACTTTCTTTTTTATATCATTTTATCCCCCATTTTTTCCCCTTAAGGTCCACTTATGTTTTTAGTCAATTTAGTGTTTGTTATAATTTAGTTTGCCATTTTCTGACCCTTGATGCAAGTACATTCTACAAATGTGAATTATGTAACTGTACCGGAAATCTTATTAACAAACTTTGGTCAACCTTTAATTGGTGTCCTCCAGAAGGACATGCAGACATTAGGAGCTTGTTTTGTTTTTTTAAGATTTGAGGATATTTTGAGTTCTGAATGTGTGGTTTCATAGTACATCAAACTCTTTAACTCCTCAAAAGATCAAAACAAATGAAATTTCTCATGGATTGACCACTTTAAAGATTTAATTTCTCCTTTTATGCCGTTTATGCTTAGAATTCATGCTAACTGTTGGATGCATTTGTGATATTTATTAGAATTATAATTAGTTTAATTATTATAATTATTTAATATAATCTAAAAGTAAAATTTACTTACCAGTAAATATCATTTGTGTACCTTGTTTTGTCAATAAAATAACGTTTTATTATTATTTATTGTGGGTAAAATAATCTGTTAAATGACATCATAGGAAGCTATTTATTTGCAAAATATAAATCTGAATGTCGACATGACTAAATCTATCTGTGAACTTGGGTGAAAACTCTCTTTTAATATAAAAAATAATAGTAAACTAAATGTGACAAATCATGTACATTGTCAAAGATGTTTTGAAGGAAACCCGTATGGGACGTGGATGGATTTTAGGGTTCAGCTGGACATAAAGCTACTGGAAATATGGTGTTCAGTTCTGTCCATCTCCCTGTCTGAAAAAGTTTTCCTCATTTCTTTCCCCACACCTTGTCTCTGCTGATTTTATTTTTTCTTCTTTCTATGACTTATCCATTATCTCATTGTCATTGAAATGTTATATATCTTTCCCTCTCTATTTTCACCTTCAGTGTCTCAGATCACCTCTGCATGCCACCTGATCAACACCTGCGCATCTCCCGCTCTCAATTTCTCACTCATTCTCTCTCCATATAAATGCCATTAATCTTTTGATGGGCTCTTGCTCATCTTTCTCTGATGTTTCCTTTTGTGTTCTTTTCTTTCTGGCCATTTCAAGTAAGACTCTGCCTCACGTCTGTGGTCTCATGAGAGATTCTCATATGCTGTTGTTTCAGATGCTCAGCATTAATATACCCATCGAGTGCCCAGCACTTCTGCTTTATGTCACATCTCCTCTGTCATGCAACATTATGTAATGTGTGGTGTGGGGTACAACAGGGCTCAAAATGGGAACATTAGCCAAAGTTTATGAAGATGTTTTATTATCTGTATTATTATTTATAATTTTACAAATATAATTTCTTTATTTTTTTATATATATTTTTTAAATTATATTCTGCTGTAGGCTGTAATAGGGCTTAACTTTTGTTGTGGTGTAAAGATATATTATTATTATTATTTTATAATTATTTCTTTATTAATATTTTATTATTTTATTCTGGTGTTTTATTAATTTTATTATTTTTATTTATTTTTTATTTATTATTATTATATTCTGCTGCAGGATAGAGAACAACAGATTTGTCTGTTCTTCTACAATATCTTGTTTCAGAAACAAATAAGTGCAGGGTATAACAGGGCTGAATTAATTTCTGGTATGAAAATATACTGTATGAATATACACAATCATTTTTATTTTATTATTTAATTCTGGTGTAGGGTACAATAGGGGCTATACAAATGTAATTTTTTGGGGGTCCCAAATGTTTATTATTATTTATTAATTAAATTAATTATTAATATTTTACTTACTTTCGTTGTATTAAATATTGGAGCAACATCATTTATGTAAAAATAAATTATAAAAGACGTTTGTTTGGATTACAAAATATGTATATTTAAAAAATAAAAGCATCAAGGGGGTCTTTGACCCCACAGCACCCTGAACAAAACTGAAAACCATCAGTCTTTTATCTTTAAATAAATATTAGGATTCGCAATAGCATAAATGTGCAATATTTAAAATCATTAAATGTTTGATTAGATCGTCTCAAGCTCAAATGATGGCAATTTCACAGTGCATAATGAAAAAGGTGTGTTTACGTCTGGATGTGTTTAGCCCATTGCCCTCTAATGTGTTAGTATTTGTTATTCACTCACTGTTACAGGGACAATGGTCTTGAACAAAACCATTTTAAAAGGCAAATATAAATCAGTGTGCTTTTTTGCAGAGTCATACCCCGTGTCGTGATTGTGACAGTCTCTCATGTGCTCGATTCAAACGCCCCCCGCCCCCGTATAAGTGGCACCCTTTAAAGTGAGTGCAAAAGAAACCACATCCTCCACAAACAAGAAATGGGTGCAAAAATCCCATGATAGATGGAATTTCCTGTATCTAAAACAATATATGTGAGTCCCGAATAGAGGAAGTTTAATTGAAGAATGGTGAAGGCTGCCGCTTCTTCATTTTTGTTTTTTTTATAGTTTTCCTTTTTTGCCATGTCACTTTCTTCCTGTAGACACTAAATTCTGTAAACAGAATGTGAGTCCTGGAAATGCATTACTCAAGAGCAGATGCACCAGATATATGAAAGCAAAACCCCTCCCAAAAGATCTCTGTTTTACATTAATACATTTGGCTGACCCTTCTATCCAAATCAACTCTCAGCACATTATTAACATTATATTAGTTCATGCATTCCCCGTTTCTAGCGCCAGTTGAGCTACAAGAACAAAAGCATATGCCTAATGCATAAAAGTAGTTCCTTTCTGAGTGCTTAATGTAAGAAAATATATAAGTTATGGCAACATGCTTTTATATTAACTGATATTAAAAAGACTTGTACAGCCAATTTGATTATACCAAAAAAATTTGATGCAACAACTGAACTTAAGTTATTAATTTGAAATAGATGGATTTTTTTACAGAGTACTATAAACTGCTTTTAGTAAACACTATTTATACTCAGAGAGAGACTGAGACATTTTGCTTTATGAATTAACATTAGAATTGTAGTGAACATCTTCACAATGTATTCAAGCATAAAATGCAGAGGTTTAGCAATACTAACTGAAATATTTGGAAATATTTACACTTTAGATGTTGTTGCTAAGCAGGTTTTTTTTAGATTTGTCTGTTGTTCTAAGATGACTATTGTTTCAGAAACAAATAAGTGAATTAATACGTGTATTATCCAGATCTGCAAGTTTATATTTTAATGATCACTTTCTTAAGACCACTAAATTACAGTGATGCTCAGGATAGCTCTGAAGAAATGATATTTGTAAAGGTCACTACATGTAATATGCTCAAGCATCCCTGGTTACTGGACACAAACTTCTGTGTAATATTTCTTTATCAGAAGAAGCCGACTATTAATAGTTCCTGTGTGTGTGTGGCAGATTAAGTTCAATGAAAAATATAAATTACCTGTGATTGTCGGCTGCAGGCGTTTTCTTCTTCTATGAAGTCAGCGGTTGCTCTCCTGTTATTACAGTTTGCCAGCAAAGATCAGCCGGACTTGGTCCGATATAAATCTTTATCTATTTCCTCTTTTTCTTCGTCCATGGAACCGGGTGCAAATGGGAAGTCTCTATTTTATACATCTTGAACCTAGAAAGTGAGATGTTATTCATTTTTATGTATAATAACCACCCCCACCCCCTTGTTTTGTTTCAAGATGCACACCAGTAATGTTTTTTTTCTAAGGCACGTTTATAAAACTACTTAAATTTCCTAATTAAACTAAGGCCAAATCCTGGCTCTAAGCCCTGTCTGTGAAACCAGGCCTTTATGTATAATAATACGTTTTTCTTATTGTTGTGTGCAATGTAGAAGTTGTTGTGCAGTGTTGAATGTAAGTGTTCACATATCGAACTTATCATTTTGGTCTCATTGAAAACCATTATTTTCTGGCATAAAAAACTAAAAATTGTGTGTGGGGGGGTGGAGGGGGGATGGGAAGAAAACACTAAACCACAGAGTCTATATTAGTTAAAGTTCTGCATACTGGCTGTGACATCTTAAATGTCATATGAGTCGTAATTAATAACATGACATTAAATGCCAGAAATGTCATTCGTCCGTATATATTTAAACATTTGTGTAAGTAGAAGGATGAGAAGTGCATTGTGCGCTGCCATAGACTGTATCATGTAGGCGTATGATTTATGTTTTTGAAAGAAGTCACTTGTGCTCACCCAGGCTGACCAAAAATACAGTATAAACAGTAATATATTACATTTAAAAAAAATATTTGTTAACACTTTACAATAAGGTTCCATTAGGTAAGATTACTTAATGCATTAACTTACTTAATGCATTAACTAACAATGAGAAATACATTAGTTACAGTACTTTTTAATCTTTGTTAACATTAATTAATAAAAATACAACTGTTCATTGTTAGTTCATGTTAGTTCACGTACTAACTAATGTTAATTGATCCAACTTTTGATTTGAATCGCTTATTAGTAAATGTTGAGATTAACATTAACTGAGGTTAAAAAATGCTTTAGAAATATGTTTCATTGTTAGTTCATGCTAACTAATGTTAACAAATGAAACCTTCAAATGAAAAGTGTTACCCAATAATATGTTCTACTTTTATATGTTTTAAAAAGTTATTTAGTCAAATGATGGCAAAGCTGTATTTTCAGCATCATTACACCAGTCTCCAGTGTCACATGATCCTTCAGAAATCATTCTAATAGGCTGATTTGCTGCTCAAGAAACATTTCTTCTTATTAATGTTGATGTTTAATAATTCTGTGGAAAGTGACCATGATACATCTTTTTTAGGATGCATTTCTTTGATGAATAGAAGGTTCAAAAGAATAGCTTTTAATTGAAATGGAAATCTTTTGTAACATTATACAATTATTTACAGTAGTCTTTTGATCAATTTAATGCATCCTAAAAATATATATATTTTTGCATTGATTGATTTATTATATTCTTTTTAATTCATTTTATGCTTAATTATTTTTTCAGTAATTCATTTTCTTTGTGATTGACTAGATATGTGCAGCTAGATATGCAGCCTTTTTCTTGAGGTTGGAGCTTTTTCTATATTGAGTGTTTTGAACAAGGTGTTAAACCTTATTGTAACAATGACCCCTGGTCTATATATGGCATTTGTAAGTGTGTGGTCATTTCGGCAAGAAATGAAAGATGCGCTTGAATCGACACGGACATCTCTGGTTTTAGAGGATTATCAGCAAGGAAAAGATCGTTCAAAGCAGAGAAAAAAATTCTAAAAAGTGTTTTTTGTGTCCCTTTACGCAGCGCCCTCACCTTTATCCCAGAATTCCCTTTGTCCAAAAGTTTCTGGCGAGAACAAACTTCCCCCCGCATCTTCAAAACCTGATCACTTTGCTTTATTCTGATCAATGTGCTCCACGTTTCTCCTCTCAGTGTCAGAGTAGTAAGGAGATAAAAAAGCAGGAGGGCAGGAGAGAAGGAGGGGTGGGAGGGTAGACGGCTTACTTTTTTAGATGCCAATTGTATGCGTCTCTGTGGCTGCCTTACCTGTGTTCCTTTGATCATAGCTGAGCATGGAGTGGCGTTTGATTCCAGGGCTACTTTGACAGCTCGCAGGCTGGCAGAAGCCTCTCGGATGACTGGAGATCAGAGAAGACAGGCTGGAAAGCAGAAGTCCAGCTGAGAGAAGATCAGAAGAGACACAACTTCAACCAGAGCTATTGTGAAGGAACGTAATGGCTTAGATAACTTTTTCCCCTCCATCTTTTTTTTTTCTTATGAAAACTTACCCTTCAGAATTTTGAATTGCCCACTTTAAGGTCTGTGGGGCTTTGTCTGGCTTTGACAAAAGAGGCATGTTTTTCTTTCTGTCTTGTCCTGGAGAGCCTGATCTATTTAAGCAGCGTCACTCCTGCTTCACCTTCTCTTGTTTTAAGTACCGTTGGTTGACTTGCTGTAGATCTACACACTATGAAGAGAATAAAATAATTATATAAATGTTAAATGTCAACATCTCAAAATGTGTAAAACAGCTACACTACACTCAAATGCGTATGTAGACTTTATTAAATCTGCATGTCTTCCTTTGTTTGTTTTTGGTTAATTTTTTGTGTGTGTGTTACGAATTTGCCAATGAAAATTTTTGTTAATTTAACTCTCAATTAATTGTAAATCCATCCAGTGTCATCTGTAACCACACAAAACATACCGAGGGCTCCTGTGGTGTGATGTCTCCCTCTGGTGGAGGATGTGATGAACATCTTACACTGCACTAATTTATAAGTGGAAATCAACAGGTGGAATGTGTCTTTAACATAAAAATAAATCGTAATATTCAAAATAATAATAAGAAGAAGAGTAAGCTCTTACAAAAATGCTACTGTTGTAAAACTGTAATAAATAAAAGAAATAACAACAATTCTTGCACAGTTTGAAGGTGGTCTCATATTCGGTTTAGTTTTAAATGCTTTCTGAGGAAGTCCCTCCCAAACAGCATATGCAACCGACCAGCAAGACACACACTCTATGAAGCCTAGTTTCTCAATTGGAGGTATCAGAACATATATAAGTTATACCTTTAAAGAAGATATGAATCCCTCTGTACGTGAAGAGGTGACCGGAGAAGCCCCAGGTGAGAGATATACACCGCGAGCTGAAAAAAACACTAATGGACCACGTGTAGCATCGCGAGACTGTCCTGTACTACATCAATACAAACATATAATTACTCCAATACAAAAAAATAAGAACTTTTACGAAAGGACGTCTCGTGGAAAGTTACTTACAGGTGAGTCTTTTTTACAGTCTATGGGTGAGTCACGTTACACTCGAATCTTCCACTTTATCGCCCTTTTAGTCGGTTTTGTTTGCTGTCGGCCTGTAATAGCCTATGTGTTGTTGAGTGAAATTAGGATGCTGTCACTGAGCTGTCATCTGCTGGGTCTTACTTTAATACCATTAAAACGGTATTAATGTGATAAATCATAAATCATCATGTTGTCAAGGATCTACAGGTGTTAGTCTGAAAGTAAAGCTCGCTTGTGCCGCCTAGTGGAGCGGATGCGAAAAAAAGTGTCTGATGCAAGACTTTTATTTTAAAATACTTGACTCTTCTGTCAGATGCAGTTTAAAGTAACAACAGGTCGTTTTTTGCTCTCGGGCTCCCCCTACAGTTGGGAAACAGTATTGTCCTCTACTACTGTCGTAAACTCTGTCATCCTACATGCACGTGCAATTGTTGACAACCAGTATAGCCCTGAACACTGTAGTAGGAGGTCACATGCAGGTGTTCTGCTTGCGTCGCGTGTGAAATGTTTTCATCCCAGGTACAGTGGCATATATTTCAGCATGTCATATGAATATAATTTCATGGGTTTTATTTTTTTTCTAACGACAAATGATCGCGATGCTCACGTTTACAAGCCAGCGTCATTATAGTAGCCTAGTCTATTGGTTACCGTTTTACTGGATCTATATGATACTTCAATGCAATGTTTGAGTGGTTGATAATAACCATATATCGTCAATATTATAATATCAAGCTACCATAAATGAATCTGCAAATTTTACAAATCGATTTGCATTATAGCTTGAGGCAAGACAAATAAACAAATATCACAGACATGTTAGGTATCCTAAAATATGATTTTATTAATAATCTTCCTCCTTTCTTTGTACATGTTGAGTAGACTACACTTTTTAGGTCAAACATTTGCTATTTGCATTTCATCGATTGCAAAGTTCAAATCAGAACGAGAATACTAGCGATAGCTAACCATCAAAAACTAGAATATCGTTTACTAGCTACCAGATTGATAATTCGCTACTACTCTAGCGAATTAGAGAGGTTAGAGAGAGGCATTCTTTTTTCGATGGGGGGTTCGATGCTCCCTGCACACGCAAGGTCTCTCGCTCGCTTTCTCTCTCTGCCGTCCGCGCGCGTTGGAGCACAGTCTCTGTCTCGCGTGCGCGCTCGCTCTAGATTCCGGGAGATTTGAACTATTTTGCGGTATAACTTGTCGATCACGAGTGGCTCAACAGGTAGAGATCTATAGATAAACTCATCTTTCAGGGATTTGACCGACCGGGTTGACAATTTAGCGTGAGAAACCGGGGGTGTGGCGTACGTGTGAGCGTGTGAAACCAATCAAATGCGGGTGTCTCACGGCCAATGCGTGAGAGTTGGCAGCTCTGCAATGTTGATCCTCGTTCTGCCTTTAACGCGATCACTTTCTCTTTTTCTCTTTTTGCTTTGCTCCGATAAAACCTTTGCTTTCTTGTTTTTCTGTGCTGCTTCGGCCATGACTATAACATTTGGCTCGCAAGTCCGATTTTAAGGAAGTGGGGGTGGTGGTGGAAGTGACGTATATGCCGTAAAGCAGTCGAATTTTGTAGTTCTCTTTGTTCGCCGGTTACTACCCGAAACCCGAAGTTTAAAAGTACGATTAAAAACGCTACAGACCCCGTCAGGCTATGGCAGACGTGTCATTCAACCTATTGTAAGTCGATGTACCATCACAAGAGACTTGGAAATATATTA